CAGTTGGACAGGTGTACCTAATAAAGTGGCCGGTGAGTGTATATAATAATTTCACACCCTCATCAGCAGAACAAAAAAACTTTAACCACTCAAACATCAGTTTGTAGAAATACATATTTTTCATATCTTTTCAACAATTTAACTTTTATCATTCTACCAAATAAATTATAAGTCAGCATTTTTATTATCACTGTCCAAGTTATTCCACAATCTTATACCTTGAACTGAGGTCCATCTATCCTTCAAGTTTATTCGATTTTTAGGTTTTACAAACATTTCAAATCCTTTCAAATTATAACAACTTTCCCTCTTAACAAAATTAGACTGAATATTCAAAGGCAATACATCTTTATGAGCCCTATACATAATCAACAAAGTCTTATAATCAACCAAATCATAAAATTTTAAAATATTCAATTGATGAAATAATATATTTGATGGGTGACTATAAAGTTTTCTGGTGATAATTCTTATAACTCTTTTTTGCAAAATAAAAATAGATTTAGTAAACGTTTTACATGTCTTACCCCAGATTTCAACACAATAAATCAAATGTGGAACAATTATTGCGTTATATAATATAAATATTATCATTAAATACAGTAACTCCTTTATCTTATGTAGTACTGCCATACATTTTGCTGTTTTTGTTCTTAAGTAATTTATGAGGTTTCCAGGTCAGGTTTTCATCAATAATAACAACCAAAAACTTCACCTCTAACTTTACAGATCTCCACACCATCAACTTTAAATGAAACACAAATAAATTTTACATGAAATAAGCTGTTGAGGAGCTGAAGGCTTTGACTTTGGGACAACACCAACAAGCACAGGTTCCTAARCAGATTGTTTTTGGGTCTGCAGAACTCAACTCATGGGTCTGTAATGACACTCCAGTCCAATAAGTGGCGCTGATGAGCTGTGCTGCCAAGACTGGTTTTAAAATAAGAAAGTTTGTTTAATTTCTATTCTAGGAATTTGACAACATTGATAGTGCTTGTTTCTTCTGCCGCTGGTGGGGGAACTTTGTCTTTGTCGTCTTTGGTGCCAACATGTAGAAAAGTGTTTAACCATTAAGAAATGTAGTGCTGTGAATGGCTGACAGCAGAGGTGAACACAACTGAGATATGTGTGTTTGACATCGCACAGAACACACAAACAGGTGAAACATAGATCTTAAATTTCACAAAAGTCTTCCTACGTAAAAAAGTAAAATGATGGAGGATAACATACATAAGTACAAGTATCT